CAAGTATTGATTTTTCCTTAAAAATATTAAAATTCAACATTCTGTTGACGCTATCTTGAAGCAAATAAAAAGCAAAAAAACTGGTATGATCATTTTCATTGCATCTATTTTTTTTTATTATGGGGGGGTCCAGCTTAATATTAACTTGAACTCCCCCCCCCTTTTTTTTAATTCCTGCTAAACGACTGGAGCAATTAAATTAGTTTTTGGGCAACTAATTAGCAATTAAAGAGCACTAAATTTTTGACCTGGTCCCACCTCGATTTGCGATGGTGGAGGGTTCAGGTTAATGGGGGTAGCAAATTCTTGCAAACTTAATTATTAGCCCTTACCATACCATCTACAATTTGGTGCCTCATCCATACCATCAAGGGTCACTTCAAATCTCTACGTTTTTTCACCTCTTCAAAATAATAAAAAAAATCTCTAAAAATTCACCAACATACTTTCAACTTTCTAGAATAAATATTGATTCTTTATTTTGGAAAATAATAAAATATAGTATAATTTATAATTACCGAAAGAATTTATAATTACCGAAAGACTCAAAGAAACTTGCACGAACAGGAATCGCTCGGTCACTAGTTACCCATATTAGTACGGTAAGGGTTAATATGTGCTAACGTAATTATTAAAATGTGAGTATTTGTTAATAAAATAACAATTATAGTTAATAGGATAAATTTATAAAACATAGCGAAAGCTCCTCTGTTCCGGTAATCAAGAAATAACCATGTATCATATTTGAAATTGAATAATGCTTAATTAGAAATCACAATAAACTATATAACCGGTGTTAAATTGAGATAAATATGATTTTATTTCATATTCGAAATAAAAAGAGAATTTTTTGTATATTTTACAAGTGTACTTTATCAAATAATAAATATTGTTTTATTGAAAAATACTTTTGTTTTAATATCTTTTGCAAGAATCATTATAAATAGTAATAATGTAATCTTCTTATAGACTCTCCCAAATTCAACAATAAAAGATCCAAAAAAACAAGGCGAATGGGAGTTAGCGTGGTAGTTAATCTTAAATCTTTGATCCAGAAAATAAAATCTTTATTCCAAAAAATAATAGTACGTTTCAGTTCACTTTGAAACCATCCTCAGTAATACAATTTCAAAATATCAATCCTTTCATGTCCAAAATAAAATCACCATCAGATTAACAGATTTGATATCGTAATCTATTCGAAATATTAAAATTATCTTATAAATATTTCTATATAAATTGTAATTGCGTTTGATCCAATGTCAAGACGAATTCCTTCTATGTCTTGGGGTGAGTCACCAGTTTTTTAATGTTAATTTATAACTTGTTGGATAGAAATATTTATAAGATAATTTTATTGTTTCGAATAGATTACAACATCAAATCTGTTAATCTGATGGTGTTTTTTCTTGGACATGAAGCGATTGATATTTTAAAATTGTATTGCTGAGGATGGTTCCAAAGTGAACTGAAACGTACTATTATTTTTTGGAATGAAGATTATATTTTCTGGATTAAAGATTTAAGATTGCGTATTCACTACCACGCTGACTCTCTTTCGCCCTGTTTTTTTGGATTTTTTGTTGTTGAATTTTTATTGTTTTCTCGCTTCGCGTCATCAATCTAAAGAACCGTGGTGGGTGATTAGGAACCTTAAAATATATTTAAAATCATTTCTACCTAAAATATGTTTTTATAGAATAAAATATAATCTCTATTGTTCGATTTTTTTGATTATTCAATCTAAGGCTATCTACATTAGGTCGGATAATCAAGGTTCTACTGTATTTCTATTCAAGTTAAGAATAGAATCTTGGAGTAGCCTACGGTTATGAAGTGCTTTGTTTCTTATTAATTACGTATTAATATCATTAATTTGTAAATGATACACTTGGAATCGCGTCTTGTTAGGGGAAAGCACTTGGTGCACATCAATCCAAATAATTGCTGCGACATTGTGTACCCAACCCCTGTAAAAGGATAGATGTCTGATTCTCCCGCAACCCCTTCGTACTAGCTCTTGGTTAAATTGGACAATGGCTCTCGCGTCGATGTTTTGTTGTGGCGGCAGATTGCACCCATTCGTCGACACGTCGTCGACAATCGTCGATGGAGATACAAACATGCGTAATTACGCAGTGTCAGGTTACTGTTTCGAATAAAGAAATTAAATTTGGATAATATCGCATATACATATATGTGCTTATTATATGTGTGTAGGTATTACAGATACGTATGTGAGTTTGCGATACGAAACACTCAACACTTTCTTGTTTCACTTAAAATGTACAAGGGAAACATTTTTAGATAACGAACGATTTTGCTGAAGTATTTAAAGATTTAGTTAAGTCCGAAAATAATTTTGTTGCACCATCAAAATAACGTAACAACAATTTACGTAGTAATCTTAAGCAAATAATAATTACGCTGCAAATAGTTCTGATATTCTAACAACCAGTTCAAGTGTCCTATATAATTATTTTGATGGTGAAACATTAGTTTTAGGTCTGTATTGGTGAAAATTATTTTTAGGTCTGATTTGATTAAATTTTTATATACTTTGGCAAGGATCGTTCTTTTCGTATTAAAATTTCTTTTCGCGAGTATTAAAATTATTTATGGCAGACGTTAACATTTTTTGCTTGTTACTTATAGAATTAAAAGGCCTATTCTATATTGTATTCGGTAGATACAGTCGGAATTAGCAGCAAATGTTGAAATTCGAGAAACCATTGATCGACAAAGCCGTTATCTCTAGTCGTAAGATCCTAATAGCAATTAGCGGGCGTGTGAACCATGTCCTCATCGCAACCATTAATTACCGCTACGCCATCTTATCGAAACGTAGTTATCGTCTACACGATTAATTTAGGTACGTAAACTCGCTGCAGATCGGAACTTTACTGATATTCGAACAAATTTACATTATATGAAATTTCACGGAAAAATATGATTTTTAAATAATAATTTATTAAACTATTGAAAAGCATGTGAAGCTAATTTTTGCGTGTGAATTTCTCTTTTTAAAATGCAATTATATGCATTTAACGAATTATCTTTATAAAAATAGGAAAAAAATGGTAGACTGAAAAAAATAGACAATACACTTGTTTGAAAAATTAAAGCACTTCCTTTGCAATCTTTTTTAAAATTATATTATATAAAAAATTTTTTTAATATTAGTTTTTAATAGGAGCCTTTTTGGACACAAAAATCGGCTTAAAATTGAACGAGAACATTAGCTGTTGGCAACTATGTTTGTTAATTGTGGGTGAGAAAATCAGCCTCTTTTATTTCGTTAACGTAACGAAGGTAACTTTCTCCGGATCGTTGAAAACATTCGACAGAGTGTGTACGTTCAATTTTCATAATTGATTGAATATCAAACAAGAGGAAGCGGCGATACGAGGGGGAAAAAAAGGGGATGAGTAGCGTCGAACTCAATTTGCTCGATATACCATTTCACCAGAAGATACGCCCTTTTTATTCGGAGTCCCTCGTCTTTTCAGCAAGGACCTCGGCATGCCTCGCGCGTTCGCGCTTTCACCCTCATTCCTACGCATCCTCGAGACGTCGTTTTCAATTAGACGATGCATCGTGACGACATCGACGTTGTTCGGGGGCCACGAACGGCCATAGGGTGAAGAAAGACTCTTCGGGGCCACTCCATTTTTCCCAATGGAGTCATTTGTTCATTGGTGGAAACGGAAACGCGGAGAGAGGATATCGCGCCCGTGAAAACAATCGCGTCCCGGATTTGCGAAAGTCCGACGGAATGATAACGTGACAGGGTCGGACTCTGCTTCAAGACTGTCGTATTCGTATATACAAGGTGTCCGGTAAGTTTTCACAAAGTGCTCGTGTGTAGATAGAACGGGCTAAACTGAGTCGAAAAGTCCTGTACCATTTTGTACTTTTCGCAATAGTTAAAAAGATATTAATGACTAAAAATCGCTGAATATTGGATTTCAATAATTTTTTACTCAAATACTATCAACTTTACAAAAAAACAGCAAGAGATAAAAATTCTGAAAAAATTCTTAGAGCTCTATGAGAAGAAAATAAACAATTTTTGGTCTCTTGCTGTTTTTCTGTAAAGTTGATAGTATTTGAGAAAAAAATTATTGAAGATCAATATTCAGCAATTTTTTGTTTTTTATTAAAACTTACCGGATACCCTGTATATCTCTCATTTAACATTAATACATATATCCTTTCGTTATTTAATTAATGGAATTAGAAATTATATACTATTTTTATAGGTAGAGGTAAGTAAAAATTTTGATTGCATTAAGAGCTGAATGAAAAGTGTAATTATGTAACTGAAATGCTTAGTTTTTTAAGCCTTTTTAAGAAAGATTTTTCAGCAAATAGTTATCAGTTCTTTGATAGTTTTTATTTTGCGTTAAAAAGAAGCCAAAAATGCTGAATTTATCGTTAATTAAATTAGAAAAAAATATTCTAACGAATTTAAATAATAATTGAGAATAAATAGATAAATTCGATTTTTTATACATTATTTAACTTGTGTTATCTTGCCTTGCAAAATTCTTAAGCTTAAATTGTCTAATAATTGGCAAAAGTATTTAATACAAAGATGAATGATTAAAACTTTTATAGAATATTTATGTTAATGGAAAAATGTTTGTACACGTATACTTTGCGAGAAGGATATTTTAACCCTTTGTACTCGAATCACACTCGACATTTTTAAAAGGCTAGTTTAAATATGCGTTATATTTTCGAAAAAAATTTGGAGTGCAAAGAGTTAACGTTTTTGTTTCATGCTCTAAAGCACATAAATTCGGCCCTGCGAAAGGATTGCGTTGTTCTCGAGTGATTGTCATTACGGCTTTTCCTCGTTTGTCCTCTGCAGGAGAACAAAGGAGCGGATTCACGTAGTTTCCCCTCAAACCTGTTTGTAATTATTCGATTTCGGCATTTGTTCTCCTCAAGTGTCTCGTTAATTCCAATGAGTGATGTCCGAATCTTTGTTACAGGGATCGACGCGACGGTTAGGAACATGGAATCCTTCGCGACGTTCTGAATTGGTGAGTTCTTTCATCTTGCCGCGCTCAAAAATTTGTTTTCAGCGATTTGTATCAAGAATTCTATTGTAAGATCGTAGAAGAATGATTAGTATATGCTTGAATTTAAATAGCAAATAATAATTTGCGATAACAAAATTGATTACTATATGTATATATAATTAATAAATATATATAAATATATAAATATAGTTTTGAGATATTCGAAGAATATATAAATTTACATGATGTAAAATTTTACAACCTCTAAAACAATTAAAATTCTGTAAGTTCGAAAATCAGTATCTTTGTTAAGGATTGTCAATCAATGTGAAGACCGTCATCTTGAGTACGTTGGCAAAGATTATTATCCAAGCTATGGACAATACTCGGAGATGCGACGTTATTATTTTGCAAGTAATTAATTGCCAACTGACGGGGATTATTAGAAGTGAAAGATCTCGCGGTGACACTTCGGACATGTTCGTCGAGCCTGTAATTAAAGCCCGGGCTTGCATCCCCACTAATGAACAACGGTATACGTGTGCATCTTGACGTCATTGATCGTTATCGCGCCAGCGCAAACTTCCCGGGCAGACAGAACCCTGGAGAAGTTAAAATCGATTGTTGTTTTTAATTGACATTTTTTCTAACATTTCTTTAATTTTATGACTTATATTTCCTTTTTATCATGAATAATTTGTTATAAATAATTTTTTGGACATCGAATATAAGTATCGTATTTTATGCTAAATTCTTTTCTGATTTATAATTTTTATGACTAATAATTTGTATTGATTTTTAATTTATCAATTTTAGAATTAATTTTTTTTTAACACAAGAGCATATTGAACGTGAGTTCATATATTAACAGGGTTAAAAATGAATTACCTCTTTTGCGTTTTTTGCAACTTTATTTTGAATGTTAAGATATCTTCTTCAATAGTTGCTTGTACATGTATATATGAAATCTTTTATAATGGATTAATTTTATACATAGGATTAATTAATTAACGAAATCATGTTACGTGAGATCGAAATATCCCATCTTAATTAATAAAACTAATCAAGCGTTCGTGAACAAGAAGCTAAAAGCTCAATTCAAAGTTCTGTAAAACAATGTGTTTCTGTACTTTCTAATTGGATTATCTGTTTCTCTTTTATATTTTATTTTTCGCTTTTTTAGACCGTGTCGAGTAGAACTTGGCCTTTACCATGCGCGGTCGTTCTTAATTAGGTAACACAATAGCGTTGATCGAATCAGCGACTACGACATTTATTTTTCTACGTCGATATCGTACTCCCTATGTTGATAAGAAATTCTATTACAATTTTTTCTATTATATGCTTTTTATTAATTATTATTAAGAGGTCCGAGATAATGTAAAATAAATGTTAGGAATTAAATCAGAATAATTGTGTCATTAGAATAATTATCAATAGTTGAGATTGATTGGATCTGTGAAGTTAGCACGACGTTCTATGAATATGAAAAAAAAATAATGACAGTTTCAGTAGTACTTTTCATAGTTCTACAGTTCCTTACCAAAATCCGTATTTTTTATACTAAAAAATTAAAATTGAAAATACGATGTTCTAACTTCACGAATATAGCACTACACTTCCCCTCTAAAGTACAAGAAAAAGAAAAATATTTTTTACTTTTAATTATATAATTAAATCCGTTAGTGCTACTCGAATTGTATAATTCTATAATTAAATACGTCTTTATTACGTTTAATATGTCTTCGTGATATTATTGTTATGGCTGAGGTATAATATTTTTCGCAATAAATTTATTAACAGTTTCAACATCTCTATAATATGATGCTCGATGGTAGCATCAAATTATTAAAAAAAAATTGCTTGTCAATTTATTTCGCGATTACTAGAGTAGTTTTAATTGCGTTTATAAGTCCGGAAAAACAATTCGGCGCGCAATTCGAAAAGCCTACACAATATGGTATATATGCAAGTACATTAGGTATATATAATGTATATTAGTAATTCAAGATTGAATTATTTAAAGCAATGAAGATCTAGCTTCGACCGTAATAGGTATTGTAAATTTCTAGTATTTATTGTTATGGTTATATTATTAAAGAATTACGTAAAAGTATTTTGCTGATCCATGTCGCATTTTTGGTTGATTAGAAAGCGTATCACACAATTTGCGGAAATAATTTTGATAATTAATTGTACGTTAAAAATCATCAATAAGACTTAAATATACAACATTCAAACACAAACAAAGTTTCGAAAAATTCTTGCTCATAATTTCAACTAATAATTCAAAAATTGTTAAATAAAAATATAGAATCAATAGAAATAATCACGATTTTGCTGAATAATATCACAAAATCGTGATTATTTCTATTGATTCTATATTTTTATTTAACAATTTTTGAATTATTAGTTGAAATTATTAGCAAGAATTTTTCGAAACTTTGTTTGAATGTTGTATATTTAAGTCTTATAGACGATTTTTAACGTACAATTAATTTCAAAATTATTTCCGCAAATTGCGTGGATACGCTTTCTAATCAACCAAAAATGCGACATGGAGGGGCTATTAGCCTGCTCTTCTTCAGGACCGAGAAGAGCGGTTCTCGCGCAAGCGCAATCCCGTAATGGGAATGGTTATGGATTTTCGGGCATCGCGACCTTCGCGTGTCGACCCACGCTCCTCCTTGCGCTCTGCATATTGTCAACTGACGTTGCTCGTATTGCCGGGGCACCACCTCACGAAGAACCCGGCGCCCGCTTCCGCTCGGATGAACGGTCTCTCGTGTTGTACGCTCAGCTACCTGCGTGGGTTGCTCTCATATTTCGTCATTGATCGAACATACCAATTTTATTCATTCACACCGTAGCAGTCCCTTTCGTATATTGGATATGTCATTTACGATTTACAAATTTAAATTTAATTACATCTCTGATATAAATGTTAAAGAAGAAATTACCAATAATCTTGCGAGTAAAGTGATCGAAAAACAAAAACAGATAATAAAGTTATACGTTTTAGACAATTTTAGGTGGATTTGAACTGTATTGTTCAAAAGATGAAAATTCACGAAAAAAATTCTGATGCCACTTTTGATATTTTAAGAAAATATTTTTTTCCAATGTTTTATACAAAAATTAAACGACGATCTAAATTTGATACAGTGTGAGTATTTCATATTATTTTCTGAGAAGCGTATTTAATGTATTTAAAATTACACATTTATTATTTTACATCAAAAAGATAAAACTATTAAATGACGATCCATGTTTACCACGTTGCTCTGCAAATGATAAACTTTCTTTCGTTGTAGAAGAATATCAAATTTAATACCAACTTAAATAATCAACTCATAGTAACTCTGCTAACTCCACGAATGTGAATAAAAAAGCGTTGATGAATAAGCGTGGTGGAGGCAAAAATGTGGAGTATATAAAAGGTGTTCATATTGGGGTTGTGTTTCACAAAAAAGACTTCACGCGCTCGAGCTATTGAAATCAAGTCGTCTCTCTTTACATAACCACATGCTCTGCTTACTTTATACCATCTTGAATGTGTCCACTTCGAAGAGCTCGAACAGCACGAGCGATGTCAGAAAACGTGTTTACTCGCGGTTTACATCGTCCCTATTTATCTCGTTCGCTCGCCCTTTACTCTGCTGCCATCCAATGTTTGATCTGTTTTCATTAACATGTTATTCCCCTTTATGCCGAACGTTTCGTTTACTTGTGCCGTCACGTTATTGATATCTCATACCCGTCTTGAAGAAGAAATAAACTGCTGAAGGCGATAAATAACGAAATTACAACTGGGAAATCAAGCTGGAAAGTATTAAGTATTATAATTACTAAAAATATGAGGCAATCTAAGCTCAACACTGTTAGCTATTTCTGAAAGTTTCATGAAGAACGATGAGCTTGTTTTTGCTTATTATCCTTTTAGCGACTTCGTAACTAATGTAACTATATTTTGTCCTATTTGTTAATTAAGAAGATAAGTGAGGAAAACTGGAGTTCAATCGCTTTATAATTTTGTTAACATCCTCATTAAATTATTATTTGAATTTTCATGTCGTGATGCATGAATATTCAAAGTTCTATCTTTAATAAGTAAATTACAGCGGAATATAAAAGAACTTTTTTATTATCTTACCTTACGGTCAACAAATACTGTGGTTGGCGCATTAAGTCTCCACGTGTTACTCAGCTCTTCTTTTTTCACGAACAAAGGTAAAGCTCGGAAGTCGACAGCTTCCCCTTACAAACAACCGCGGAATCGCATGTCGCGGGTATAGTTAGTCATGCGATAGAAGGTGGATGTTAAAGCTGAGCGTTCTTTATTGTTCAAGACGATGCACTTTTGGGAAGTTGTAAAGGCAATCGAGATTCCCAAATAGTAATCTACAAGTTTTTATATCCCGCTACTATAGCTTATTAAACGCGAAATTTATTAATTTTAAATTTAATTTATATATTTTGTGCAATTAAAAAAAATATTTAATCTATAAAGATTTGAAATGTCGGAGAAATAAAATTTTTCTTAAAGTTTTGTCGAAAAAATAATAAAACTTAATTTTTCTATTGCGAAATAAACTTGCACTTATATAATAAAATTTTCACTGAAGAAAACTTGATACATTGAATCCCTCAAAGGAATCCAGGGAGACGTTATGTATTGAGAATACTTCTTCCAATGTACACTGCTGAATCCTTATCTTACCGCGGAAGTTGCCAACGGACACGTGCCAAGCATGGGTTCGTTCTTACAGCTCCGCGACTATGATTGACATCGCGGTCGGACAGTTTCCTCCGGAGGGTTTGATGGGACTTTATAAACGCCTCAGGCACTTCCCGAATAGCTATCGCCCGTAAATACCCTCCGGGGCCGTATCTCTCGGAGCCTCTCACGCTCCGAGTCCTGTAATGATTCCCTTTTGCGCGACGACGACGACGAATCAGCTCGCTCTCTCTCGGGACTTCGCTCCCTTGGTTGACGAGATCGAAGATACGAATCGATAGTG